GTTACCTTTTTTTTTTAAAGGACTGCCATTTGTTAAAAACAAACTTTCAGAATTTAACACTATGAGTGTTCAAGTGCTGGTCTCGGTAGCTTCCTATCTCCCTCAGAATGAAATGAAAGCCAGTTATTATCCTTTAAAAAGATTCCTAATGCTGACTGTCTAACACCACATCTGGTCTTCTGCCCCTCACTTCCCTTCAGGTTTTTGCCATTCTTGAAATGCATGAAGCAAGCCTCCTCTTCCTCTTTTTTTTTTTTTTTTTGGTCAGTTGTGGGGCTTGAACTCTTCGCCTGGGCACTGTCCCTCAGCTCTTTCAGCTCAAGGCTAATGCTCTACCACTTGAGCCACAGCGCCACTTCTGGCTTTTTCTGTTTATATGGTGCTAAAGAATCAAACCCAGGGCCTCATGTATGTAAGGCAAGCACTCTACCACACTGAGTTACCTTCCCAGGCCCTGAAGCAACTTTCTAATGTTCTTTGTACTTGGCTATTCAAGTGAATGGTCTTTCCATGGGTACCAAGGGCTTCTCCCTCAGCTTCTGAGTAAGGCACCTTTACAGGAAGGCCTCACTGACCATTTATTGACAACTCCAGCCTCCACCCCAGGCTTCCTGTTTTTTGTTCCATAGTACTAGCCAAATTCTAACATAGCATGCATTTTGTTTTCTAAAGAGCTTTCCAGGTGGCTCTCATCTGTAGCAGCATGCAATAGACATTTTGCAGTAGACATTGAGACTTCTAGCAGAGGTGAGATTTTAAATACCAAGAACATATTTTGAATTCTTCATAGTAACTAAATGCAAAATACTTCTCACATAGTAGAACCATTCTCTTGAGTTAAACTATATAGTGATTCAACCTAATTTCTCACTAATCAGGTTTCCTGGAGAGAAGGGGTATAGCTCAGTGGTAGAGTATTTGCCTTGCATGTGTGAGACCTTGCCTTCAATCCTCTGAAGTCATTGAAGGAGGAGGGATCCAAAGCTGGACATGGTGACACATACTTATAATCTCAGCCCCTAGAAGGCTCGGACAGGAGAATTATGAATTCAAAAACCAGCCTGGGCCATATGGTGAGACCTTGACATGCAACAAAATTTCATTGTGGTTAGATAGCTGTATATTCCTATTAGGACCACATGCTTTATAAACTGAGGGTCTCCTTTTTTGAATGTATTTATTTATATTGAGCAAAGAATTAAGATGTGAGATCTCAGATAAACGTTGGTTTTTAGCCAGGCACCAGTGGCTCACACCTGTAATCCTAGCTACTCAAGGAGGCTGAGATCTGAGGATCAGGGCTCAAAGGCAGCCTGGGCAGGAAAGTCCATGAGACTCTCAGCTCCAGTTAACCACCAGAAAACCAGAAGTAGAGCTATGGTTCAAATGGTAGAGCACTAGCCTTGAGTTGAAAGAACTCAGGGACAGCACTCAGGCCAGGACCAGCACCCAGGACCAGCAAAAATGGAAAAGTTGGTTTTACTGATATTTTTCCCTTAAATAGATTCAAATGAGTTAACTCATATAGAATACTTAATAATTTTTATAATTTTCTATTGTAAAGAGTCTTTTAGTCTTAAAATTACATATGTAAATTTAGGAGAGTCAGAAGAGATATCGAAATATTGAGAAGTCTGAAAGATGGCGCTTCTGCCTTTTCACAGTGCTGTACTCCCAGTTCTGTTTGCAGGGTTCGGAAAAGGATTCAACATTGTTAACTTCTAGGCAAGTTGCTTGCAGTTCTTACTTGATGTACATACTTGTAAAAAAGAGATTGTCTTTATCTTGGGGTTCATTTCGCTCAGCATCATGTTATATGGTCATGTGTACATAGCTTTGACCTCTTCTGCTTGTCCTAGACATATACTAGTTATTGCAGATAAGGGAAACCATGGGACCTATGTTTCTTTGAGTCTGGCTTACTTCACTTAATATATTTTTTCCCAAGTCTTTCCATTTCCTAACAACTGGGCAGTGTCATTCTTTCTTTTTTTTTTTGGATCTGGTCATGGGGCCTGAACTCTGGGCCTGGGCAATATCCCTGAGCTCTTCAGCTCAAGGCGAGCACTCTACTGCTTGAGCCACAGCACCACTTCTGGTTTTCTAATGGTTTATTGGAGATAAGAGTCTCACAGACTTCCCTGCCCAGGCTGGCTTTGAGCCATGATCCTCAGATCTCAGTCTCCTGAGTAGCTAGGATTACAGACATGAACCATTGGTACCTTGCCTCTGGTTTTCTTTTGCTAAGCTCAGCTTTAGACCTGACCATATTAATACATATTGATCTAGTTCATTATGGATGGCTCTGTAAAATTACTATGTGGCTGTTATACAGTTTCTGTAGTTTCATTAACAAGATTGAATTTCTTTCTTGGCTTTTTAAAAGTTCTAGGTACTTTTTTAAACAGTGCTGCTACTAGTGTCCTCATTTATCATATTGAATATGTACCTTTTTCTAGGATCTTAAAGAAAATTTTTCCTGTGTTTTTCTTTACCAGCTTATTACAGTCTCTTCATAAGCCACACATGTCTCTTTTTAAAGGCTTTTTTTTTTTTTTTTTTTTTGTTCAGTTGTG